GTAGCTTCTTACTCCCATAAGCCTTTCCTTCAAGAAGTGTCTGCTGCTCTCAGTTTTAGTATCCACTTGTGTCCTCTGAATCGTGAAAAATCAAATGTTTTTATTTTTTTTAATTGCTTCCGCATATAGTCTAAAATACATAGTGGTCTTGACGCAAAAGTCTCTTTCATGAATAGCCCCTTCAAGCTCAGTGTTTCCCATTTTGTATATATAGTTTGTTTTCTTTTTCTTGCATATTTAGCCATGTTCACTGGATTGCTGTAGTGTATTCCACATAATTCAACTATTTTGGCTTTCCTGCCCATCAGTCCTTTGGCTGAGTGAACAACGTCTCTGTGTGACTGCGTACTGTACGCCTAACAGCCCAGTACTTTGATGGATTTCAATCACATGTTTCGGGCTTTATCGACACACCTGTGCTCTGGGCCAGTACCAGAATGTAAAGGAAACCACAGAAGATCATGCCACCAGCCAGAACAAGAGGGCGTCACCCACATCCCTCTGGATTAACTCCAGACAGCTCTTCCCTTAACAATTTCTCTGCACTATTCATTCCTCCACCAGTCTGCAGTGATTAAAAGATTTATTTTTCATTTTTTCATTCTAACTTTGGGCTCTGTACTCTGTTTTGAACCTACATGAGAGAGATTATATTATTTTTAATATTATTAATGGCAGAGTATCCTAAAATAATTAACTTTAATTTTTACCCATAAATTTATTGAGGCAAACTATAAAGCACAAACAAATGACCAAATATCTCCAGATCAGCTTAGAAGTTTTTCTTCAGCTAGAACATGTTCATATTCTAGTTACAAAATGATCAAGGTCTCATTAGCAACATAACTATTTTTACAATTATAATTTTTTTACTGAAATGACCATTCGTCTGTCCAGTTCATTTAGTTTTCATCAGATAATTTATCTGAGAATTCAGCCTCTTGCCGAAAGGAGCAATGGTATCAATTCGATATTGTCACGATCGCAATCCCTCCTCTTAAGGGCGCTCTGGCTCTTTCTTATTTTGCTAATTATGTGCGCCTGATCCCAGTCCTGCCCCTCCTTGGTGCTCTTGCTACTCTGGGCTCTGCATTGGAAGATGGACACCATCGTCACACCCCCTGTCTGTCAACCCCTCCTTATCCTCATCGACTCCTCCCCGTCGACAGACAGTACAATCCGGAAGTGAGTGGAGAAAAAAATTAAAATAACAGGTAGAAATTCTTAATGAACTCCAAAGGATTACCCATGAGACATTTACTGAATATCCTTTTGATTTAGATATTTGAATAATGTGAGTTAATAAAATTGGGTCCATAATTAATATAGAGAGAATTCATGGAGGTTAATTACCTCATATTCAGGTAGCACTCCTACAATATATTGTTGAGATCTTCTGGCTTTAAGGCTTCAGCGACACTTTGGTGTATAAATAGAAACAGTATAAGAAGACTTTGAACTTATGAAATAAAAATCACCACTCAAAACTAATATCACAGCCTTAAATCTAAGGATCATTTTGAGATTATTGAATAGGACCAACCTAAAAAGAACCTACCAGTATCTTCTCATTTAAAATGTAATTGTCAACACTGCTTCCAGGCAGAGTGAGTTTAAATGCAGTGGATCAGGCAGGGGTGTGCTGCTGCAACATGAGCAGGTGTGTTTCTGGGCGGAGCTACAGCCTCGATAAATTACAGAACAGAAGAGTCTTTACAAGCACAAGAGGGACACGATGCTGAACAGAATCATCACCCTCGTGTTCCTCATGCTGTTTCCTGTCGCTGGGACAAGTTCAAAAGTTGAGCTGGTGAACAATGGATACAACAATGTTGTCATTGCCATTCATGAGCAGGTACCAGAAACTTTAGAGCTCATTGACCAAATCAAGGTAAGCTGTTTCAGTAATACCTAGAAACCAAAGCTAGGTTTGAATCCTTCACATGGCAGAAAGCAGACCTCACTGCTATACTATTGTTAAAATGCATGCAAGCAGTATTTTCAATTATTATTATTTTTTAGACTTTTTTGCTTGTTTTACCATACCAAAACAATGTTAATGTTAACAATTTCTTCGTAATGAAGAAAGAAAACACAACGTTTCGGCCGTGGAACCTTCTTCCACGGCAGAAACGTTGTGTTTTCTTTCTTCTCTTTTCAGCATGGTATAAACCTTTACTTGTTTCTTTGCAGCCTGTGCATGCTGACGCAGCTACCCACCTGAATTTCTTAGTAATGGTTTATTGTGCAATAAAACAGTGCTATATTCTAGAACAAACAGAAGCATTGTTATATTTTATGTTCTGTTGATAAAAATGTTTTTTTCTTTCGATATGGCCTGTGGTGAAAGGGGCAGCACACACACACACAGGTGAGAGATACCAGTGAGCTTCACAAGCAGGTTCCTGACACGTGACACACCATGTCTTAACTCTTCTTTCACTAAATACCAGCTAATGGAAGAATGATGGGTGTGCCTATACAGAGCAGGTGTGTCCGACCCTGAGCCTGGATGTCAGTATTTCAGGTGGTTTTCTAGGTCTCTTTGACATATCACCATCTGAAGAGCTGGGAGAAGCTGTTCAATTTGTCTGATTGGGCCAATAATGAGCTGATTGGGCTGCAGATACACCAACTCTCCCGGACTGGGACCAGAGGCCTCTGACAGAGTGTGCTCCAACATGAGCACTGCTGTACTTCACTGCTCCTTGACTTTACAGCCTCCATCTGCTGGTTGTGTTTTGTCTCAGGAAATGGTCACTGATGCCTCTGCGGTCTTGTACACAGCGACACGAAAAAGAGCGTTTTTCAGAGACGTGAACATTTTAATACCCTCCTCCTGGACTCCAAACTCTAATTTGTACAAAAGAGCCACAACACAGTCTTATAATCAGGTAGGCATGTACTGTGGAATATTTAATCCCACTGTGATTTAGACAAGATACAAAGCCAAATCTAATACTGTTTGTGGAAAAGCTTATATTTTCTGATATGGTTTTAATAGTATAATACATCTTCCTGGACTATGCAGCACCACAGAAGCTTCACAACCTAACATGTCCAGCTGTGAATTTTTAAAGGACACCTTGAGAGCAAGGCCTCAGGTTGAACTACAGAAACTTTAAGAATCATCTGAGATTTCCTCTGGACCATTAATTAATTACCTTAAATAATTGCTTGATGATATTATTGTGATTTTCATTTCTTTAGTGTTGTATGGGGGTGTTGCCTTAAGAGAGATGGTTGTTTAAGAGGTGTTTCCTCTTCTTATCACAATTTGGTTTAACACAATCTGGGCTTTTTAAATCTCCTTAAACTCCCTCTGAATGGAAAATGAAGAACAGATCTCGGTAGGTTTCACTGTAACTCTGCAGGCAGTGGTTGTGACTCTCGGAGCAGGCTGAGCTCTAGAAGCAGACGTCATGAAGCTGGGTTATGTCACCAGGTGGCTGAGACTCCCCATGCAGTGGTGTTGAGGGTGGGTTCAAGCAGTCATGACCTCCAGAGAAACCGTGACCCCTGTGACTTCCAGAGTGCCTCATTGAGGGACACACCTCCCCTCCAGGAGGTGCTGGACTTCCTGCATGATGCATGATGGGGGGTGGGGGAAGGGGCAGAGCCCCTTCTTGTGGGGTCAGGGGTCACATCTGAGACTGGAGACACAACTGGTGATTTTTAAACTGGGTGGGAATAAAGGGAAAAAAAGGCTAGTCATCATCAGATATATTAATAAATACACACAGTAAAGAAAAACTAACACATTTCTGATTTCTGATTTCTGAGCTAGTGATTTCAGGGTGACCCCTGAGAACTGCTGTCTCAGGACAGGACTGATCCTCTCTCAGCTAAAAGATCTAGAAGTGTGCAGGTTAGGTATTATACCAAGACACATCAGCAAGTTGCACCACCTTTCCTCATAGCTTCTATCTTAACAACCTGAAAATCATTGTTATCCTTCTCTTGTGGCTGAAGACTGGCAGAACAGATAGAATCAATTTGCTCTTCATATTGCACTAGGCAAATGTCATTGTTGCTGATGGAAACTACCAGAAGGGCGATGATCCCTACACGCTGCATTATGGTGGGTGTGGACAGGAGGGCCAGTACATTATCTTCACGCCTGGATTTCTACTGAATGATAGCCTGCTCCCTGGCTACGGGCCTCGAGGTAACAGTTTTTACTTCTGTGCTCGTACAGGCATCCCAAACGATAAGAACGCTGGCTGCATTGTTATCACAGTGGAAAAAGAAATGATTGTTTCTGCAATCAATCAGCAGGTGTAAAATCTGACAAATTTAACAATCCCTTCTGGTTACTCAGGGTGTACATGAAGGTTCTGTTTTGGGTCCTACTCTCTTCTTCATCTTATTATCACCAAATAATCTCAGATCTCAGATCCATCTGCTACAACATCTTATATTTAACTGGACACTATCATTATTAATGATCGAGTTTCACTCTTGTTTCAATTGAATTTAGCAGGTTTTCTGTGAACTGCATCTCTTAAAACTAAATCTATGCTTTTCAACAAAAAATAATTTGAACTTTTCCCTCGGGAACAATCCAAAATGTTTAATTTAAGTATGGCAAAAATGGAGCAAGTAGCATTTTATAAATATCTAAGCATCTGCTTTGATAGTGATTTAAAATTAACTTCAACATTTTAACTTTCAAAACTCATTAATAAATTAAGAGGCTAAAGTCCAATCTATACTTGGCTTCAGGGTATCCTAACAAATCTTCTTTTATGTTTCTTTGGATGTACAACTAGTCCAGATGTTCAAACTCTAACTTGGAGTACAGTTATATTGCTTACAGAATAACATCTAAAACTCTTTTTGGGAAACCTGATATCTTCTGAAGATCTTTACTCTCCGATCAATTGTTCCTCTTTGTACACTAGAACTATGAACATTGAATAACTCATCGGTTTAGATCATTTAACAGAACTTTACTCAGGGAACCTGCTAATGCCAATGGCTACTACCACAAACTACACAGTGAACCCAAACTACACAGTGCCCACCTTCACAAATGAGGGTGCTTTCAGCTGTATTAACACTGCCATGTTCTTTTGTGCTTTTTATTGACGGTTCTTTTCTTTCTTTTACTGCTTTGTCTTTCATGCAGTAGCAGCGCAACCTCTTGGCCAGGTTGTCATTATGAATGATAATTTGTTCTTATCTGAATTATCTGGCTAAAGGATTATTAGAACCTCTTAGATCTCCTTCATATTTAAATAAAACTCCTTTTAAAAAACTACAATTTGCTCAACTAAGTAAAACCACCTCACCTGGAAGGTGAAATGTTTCTAAGCATGCTGCTTAGATAGTGATTCTCCTGATGCAGAAAGGATGTAAGTGCTTTGCTGTTGTTTTACTCAGGGAAGGTGTTTGTCCATGAATGGGCTCATTTGCGTTGGGGGGTGTTTGATGAATATGATGAGTTCAATCCATTTTACAGAGGAAAGAGTGGACTTGAAGCAACAAGGTAAAAGTTTGTTTCTTTACTCTCGTGAAAAGCACAGAAGAAATTATTATGATTAACTCTACAAGCATAAATACATCAGTGTTTTATATGCCAATAATTATGGATCAGAAATCATGCCAAAAGACTGACAATGTATAGATTTTAATTCTACTTTTTTTGCTGTTTCTGTTCCAACCCTTTTAATGTTTCAGGTGCTCATTGAATTTAACAGGAAAATATGTAAATTGCAATGAAGATCATTCAGATGAAGAATGTGCATTTTTTCCTGAAACATTAACTTCTGTTTCATCCTCCTTGATGTATGCACAGTCTTTGCCATCAGTGAGTATGGTGTTCACAGAGTAAGAATGATGTAAGGACTTCTCTTGCAGTTTACCACAGCACATCTCACAAGCATTTCTCATCTGTATCTTGCTCAGTGCATGAATTTACAGTACTCTCCCAAAATTTGTCTTGTACTTTCCCATGTCTTTGTATGCTTTACAATGACTTAACTGTGCTTTTCTACCCTTTCTTGTGCACTGCAGAGTAAAATGTTATAAGGGATTTTTTTTTAATCATATCCTTTTTAATGCTACCTTAAGAAATACTAATGACTAAATTGTTGATCTCCAGGTTAGCATGTTTTGTGATGAAGCTAGCCATAACCGGTATGCACCAAATAAACAAAATAAAAAGTGTCAGTACAGAAGCACTTGGGAGGTCATCATGGAATCCAAGGACTTCAACAATGTGAACCCCCCAGTGGAACTGAGTTCAACAAGGCCCGCATTTTCCCTGCTGCAAATCCATAAAAACAGATTCATCTGTTTAGTCTTGGATGTGTCTGGAAGTATGTCCGGGGTGGGTCACCTTTCCGCCTGTTTTCAGTGGACAGAGTTTTGGGACTGACTGTGAGGAAACAGTGGGGTGCATCTGTGTGTGGTGGCAGTGGTGGTGAGGGTAACAGTAATGCAGGAGAAGTGTCTCTACACTGCACACAGATGGCTAATTGAGCCACCACTGCTAATAAGCCACCACTATACATTCTCATTTTATCCATGCTTTGCAAGGAGACACAAAAATGCACTTTTGTGCAATAATGCAATCATTTACCTACTTTAATGTCTTAGAAAAATAATTTATTCTGAAGACATTTTTAAGATTTTCAATTTCCTCTTCCAATAGGAAAGGCTTGAGAGACTAAAACAAGCCGCTACGTCATTCATACTGGACATGGTGCCACTGGGCTCCTATGTTGGCATCGTCACCTTTAGCAGCAGCCCTCTTATTAAAAGACACTTAACAAGGGTAGACGAGCACAGCCGCCAAGAAATCATTAATGACTTACCTGAACACGCTCAAGGTGGGACCAACATCTGTTCTGGACTTGAGGAGGGATATGAGGTACCTTCTAACTTTTGTCAATTTGAATTACCTGTCGATTTCATATACCTGATGAAGGTGTAATACTGTATCTTTTTTATCCACTTTACTTTTATCAACCCCTGTTTGTGCTTCCCGAAATGCATGATTAAATATAAATTCTATTAAAGGTTAGTGGAGAGTTTAAGTATATAAGACAAACTGTGATTTTTACAAACAGTATGATCAGATCCTTAATAACCAGACAGTCAGGACCTCGGTTTAACATCTGACAGGACCTTCCCGCAGCACAGACCCCAACAACATCTCTTACTGCAGCAGCCTAGTTTTCCCGGGAGATCTTCCAGCTCGATACTCTCCCATCCCAGGGTTCGTTTCTTGAGTCCCGATGAGTTCAGACTCCAGGCTGGTTGATGCATGTCAACAGTATGGAATAGCACTCCACCGCCACTCCGGCGTCACATGTTACACAAGCTTATCACTCCATGGCCCGCAGTGCCGATGCAGGATTTGTGTTCTGCTGATTTTGTGAATGAGACAGCCTGTTCCTGTCGACGCAGGTCCTGAGGAGGGATGATGGCAGTGTGGATGGAGATGAGATTCTTCTGCTGACAGACGGCGAAGACAGTTCACTTTCCAGGTGTCTGGAAAAGGCAAGGCTGAGCGGAGCAAAAATCCACAGCTTGGCTCTGGGACAGTCGGCAGACGAATCCTTGAAAAAGTTTCCGAATGTGACAGGTAAACCTCATCTTTTCTGCAGACTCTTTCCTTTTGGCAATGCAAGGCGTGTCATGGCAATAGCATCAAAGAGAGTCCTTGCTCTTCACATTCTTTTTCTTGTCATTAGTTAAATTGCTGTTAATCCGAAGAAAATCATTTACTTACTTCCTTTTCCTCGGTCAATCATTTGACTGTCACATTGCACCAGAGTGTGTTATTGTTCTTTAACCAAGACGGCGCAGAAAAAAAATTGACAAATCAAGAAGGACCGATGAATTCTAGTGGAACATGACTGGAAGAGCCTGCAGCACACACTGATCACTTGGGTGAGCGTCTATGCACTGTGTGCCATGAGACGACGGGTTAGAACTTGGACCTAACAATTCTATCAGCTGTAACTTTGTCGCTGTTTATGTGATGTTCCTTACAGGCCCAGGGGTAGCCTGTATCTAGTCTTCATTTTCCTGTTGCTCCTGAGACATAACGTCACCTGCACAGTCATGATTTGCCTTACTGTTTGCACATTTCCCAAGCCACTAGAGTGCCTCTGCAAGAGCACTGCAAAATCAGGACCAGTGGGATCCAAGCTCCAGCTGTGTTCCAGCTACTTGTGGCTGCAGGATCTCAGTGCTGGGGCAGACGTCTGTCCCACACCAGCATGCTTCTCCTATGCTCTTTGTGGCAGCCCTCATTATCCACCTGCTGTAGAGAAACACCTGGAGTCACACGAGGAACCTTGTAGTTATAGCTTACTCGTATTTACACTTTAACTGCTACAGGAGACTGTCTTCTTCAAGCCATCTTCAGTCAGATCTCACTTCCCCAACTTCCTGAAAACACTGGTGGAACATTTGCTTCCCCCTGGATACATCTGTGTCAAGTTCTCTACTCTATCTAAAAACCCAACAATAAGCAATGTCGTGTTTTGGGCCTCAGCTACAAAAAGGGGTTTTCTACAACATGTTCCTGACAGATCCTCGTCATCTGACATTTGGAACAATTTCAAAACACAGTATATAATTATAGGATAAGGTTAATGATGTATGACATACACTGTATGTATATGACAAACATATTTTAACATTTTCAATAATTTTGCTGTTGTATTTTTTTTTTTCTAGGTGGACGTATGTTTTATGCCTCTGATGAGTTTCGGTCAAATGGATTAATTGAATCCTTTCTGGGCATAACTGATGAATCTATTGAGGTCAGACAAAGTAATTCATTTTGTGTTTATAGTATGCAATTATTAAACACAATATTTAATACAAAACCCAAAAGCTTAGTTAAGGTTAGCAATATTATAAAGTCACATAAACATCTGTTCGATGTGCTCTAGATATTTTTACATTTGTACTATTTTGAAGTGTAAATGTGTAGCAGTTCAATATTGCATCATTTCTATTTCTGTTTTGACAAGGCTTATAATAGTCTAAATTAATTATTTGAATTCTAGTTTCCTAATCTGTTCCAATTGCACACAAGCAATTGGTACTGTAAGCTGCTGAACCAAGTGAAACATGTGGGTCGAATTCCCATGTCTGCCTCGCAGTCAGGATGTGTGCAGGCATCTCTCAAGCCCTCTGCGTGAACTGTGAACTGATCCAATCATGGGCCATTGCTGGACCAAACCTGAACCTCATCACGTCTCAAGCACAAGGCTCCTATGAAACTATGAAGCTCACTAAAGAGCACCTGTAAAACACCCATCTGATTAATCCCATTTCTTCCTTTTTGCAAATTAGCTCATAGCTGAAGGAGAAACTCTGGAGCCTGATGATAGCTTTGATGGATCGTTTTATATTGAGAGCGATATTGCAAAAGACACCACCATCTTTGTAACTTGGAATACTGACTTCATACCCAAGGTTGGGATCTATGCACCCTACTCATCTACAGAGTACCACATGAGGGACTTCAAAGTGGATGACAATTTACAGTATGCGAGGCTGCACATTCCAGAACCAGAGGTATTTATACAGGATTTAGCTGCTGCTGGTATGAGGAGCTGTGTCTCTGTGGAGAGGGGTTCTGTGTGTCTGTGGAGAGGAGTTCTGTGTGTCTGTGGAGAGAAGCTGTGTGTCTGTGGAGAGGAGCTCTGCGTGTCTGTGGAGGGGAGCTCTGCGTGTCTGTGGAGAGGAGT